AACTGTTAGTAAAAATTTTGACTTTTATTTTTAACAATTTGTGACACAAGTGACACACAGAGGTACAACTAGAGACCTTTTACTAGTTATTTAATGCAACCACTTAAAAGTATTGTCATGTATATGACAATGTTTTTATTTTTGGAGATCAAAGCAAGGTGCTTTTTCTTGGTTACACTAAAGAGATTTTCCTTACCAAATATTCCACTTCTAAAATTTCATTTTTAATAATAATAGCTAATGTATACCAGGATTCACCATATGACAGGCATTGTTCTAAGGACATTACATATGTGAAATCATATTATTATGTAAACAACCCAAGAAGTATCATTATCTTTTTTTTTTTAAACAAATGAGAAAACTAAAGCACTAGGAGGTTAACTGCCCAGTCATACAACTAGTCAGTCACAGGCCCAGGTGTGAACTGAGGCACTCTGGTTCCAGAGATTTATGCTCATGTCTCTTTTCTTCAATTCATTAAGCACATTAGTTTTATCTCACATTTTTGAACTATTAAAAAGTAGCTAATTTACCGCTGGCTAAAAAAAAAACCAAAACGCTAAATATCCATTACTCTACTTAAATCACTTTCCAACAAACTTAAGGAGTTTTAGATTTTTCTCTGTAATTAAGAACAGGTATAATTTATCTGTCAATCATGCCAGTGTGTCATTTACGGAGTGTATATTAAGCGCTGTAAGAACAGTTAACAACTTATTTAGAGTTGTCACTCACACATTCTAAGTGCTGAATTTATAAAGATAAATTACTCTTTAGCAGTACTTACCATATGTATCTAACATGTGTATAGAAATGTGCAAATCATCCTGGAGGGCTTTCCCTCACAATCCATATCTAACTGGCTCCCCAATACTGCTGTCTTTCTCCCTAAACTCTTTTAGATCTGGTTCTCCTGGCCAGCCTTGGGGCCACATACTAGAGTCCTTTCTTCCTATTTCTTCAGTAAGGATATAATAGCCACGCCTGCCTCCGTGCCTCCGGTCTTACTCAAATCTGGCATAACATGAATGCCACCATCAGAGTGATCTTTCTAATAAATAATGCTGAGTTCATCATTCCCATGAAAAATAATTTTAAACACTGTAGGATAAAATTAAAATTCTCGAAATTAATACAGAAAAGTCATTTATGCCTGTTCCTGCCAATTTACCTCTTGATAGGAGTAAATCATAATCTCTTTTAGTCCTTTTCTCTTTTGAGAACATGGTGAGGGATATGGGTATGCTCCCAAGAAAAATGTACACATTCAAATGGTGTCTCCCAGGTTTCTTCTCTACTTCCCATAGAATCATATAAGCACAATTCTCTTTTATTATTTTCTAACATGATTTTCTTTACTATCACTGTAAAAGAAATTATTACATCAGCCTCCATTATTAGAAGCTCCTGGAGGGCACAGGCTTAAAATAATTTATTTTCCTGTCCAGACGCCTCATGGAAGGCCCACTGTAGCCGTGCTCAACATATGATGTTAAATGTATAAGTTATATCCATAATGTATCTTAATAAACAGAATAAGAAGTATATTCTTGTACAATGAATTGTTTCGCCATTGACTTCTACTTTAAATGATTTGCTATGGTGAGGAAAAAAACAGATGAAGCAAAACTTTCGGTACAGTACATTCAGTCTGCTGTTCAGAATATCGACGCAAAGAAGGGAAGAGATGAACTAGAAGACGAGAGGGAAGAAGATGAAGCTGTTGGAGTGGGGCAGTTACCCAAGGGAAACAAAACCACACGTGGAAATATGCAGCACGAATATCAAATCATTTTCCCTGTTTATAGACACACTATGAGATGCCTACACCCCCTGCTCTCTTTGAGAAAATTCCTAAGACTGTATTCAATTCAGTCTTTCCATAAGTGTATATTGAACGCCTTCCACGGATCTTCATTTGGAAGGAAGGTATGTTCAGGAACTTATCTATATGATATGATAACAGAGGCAAGAAAGAACAGAAGCATGCTGCACTGGAGCAAGAGAGGGACTGTGGGAAGAAGAGATTTAAAACCAGGCCACACTATTCATCAGTGAAGGGAACGGGGAGGTTATTTATGCTCTACGAGTATGATTTTCTTCATCTTTAAAATAAAAAGTGTAATATTTTGAAGGCTTGTAAAGACTAATGGAAAAAGCTTATCTAAAGGGCCTACCAAATGCCTTGTATCTGATGGGTTCTCAAAGTTCAATTATTGTTTTAATAGTGATTAAAAATTATGAATATCAGTAAAAAATAAGAGTGTAAGTATTATGATCAAGAATATGTGAGTAAGGGAGAAGAAATGTGTTAAAAAAATAAGTATAATTAATTCATAGAAGGAAAGGGTCAGTATGACCTACACTTACACTTCAAGGATCAGGAAGGAAGTAGATGGCCTTTAAAAGTGAGAAATATAAAAGGCTGCCAGGAGGAAAGAACATTATAAATAGAGACCTGGAAGCCTGAGAAGCTTGAACATTTGGAGCTTCAGGCAGAATTCTCCAAACTGAGGTCAAAGTTTAGCAAGAAAGTAAAGGAAGAGGACACATGCCCGTGGTGAAGGCCTTGAATGCCAGGTGAAGGATGGCCCCTGAAACTCTGGTCAGTCATAGGCCTAATCTACACATTTAATTTTGTCAGATGTAAGGAAACTAATTGTTCATTTTTATGTGCGTAAACAATCATAAAACTTCAAAAAGTAATGTCTAGTGAAATAATTCATATCCATTTAAAGTTATTTAGTAATCTTTCCTTTTCCAATTGTAATAGCTAGAAGATACTATTGAAATGTATTTATGAAAAGAGACAAAACCATGAAATAGTTGTAACTTCTACACTCAGCCCCTTTTTTATATCAATCAAAAAATACATCAAAACATAAGTGACCAAAAAGAGTTTTAAAATAAAAAATAAACATTTTTGATAAATTATGATACAGGGTAATTTGTAAAGATAATGGCTAAAAAAAAATATATTTTATATACAACAAAGAAATAAATGATTTTCTTTAAAAACTGTTTCCTGTAAAATTAAATAGAAAAAATCATTTAAATGCATTCAATATACTTTGAAAAGTAAGCTTTCAATTGAATCAGAAGAAACATAAAGGCATACAAAATGAAAATACTATCCCCCAACTCACAAATACAACTAGCAGTAGGGAAAAAAAAGGAGAAAACACCAAATATAAAAAAGGAAAATGTAAATAAATTAACAAATAAATTTATAAGATGTGATCAACAAACAGGAAAGATACTCTAGGAAATTATATATTTTTCATAGATACTGGAAATCTGGCTTTAAGATATTTAAGAAAAAAAAAGTTAATGTCATCAAAATCTTATACTCCTATCTGCTCAATGAAGCTCAAAGACAGAGAAAATTAAGCTATAAAATCTATAGTAATTAATGTTAAAGATGGGATATGTGAATAACTTCACCCATCCTCTAACACAGTAATAATTTAAATCAGCTAAGAAAATTTTCTCTTCACTTCAATTTGCTCCTTTTCTCAAATTTGAAGCTCTACAAATTTTAAAAGAAAAACAAAATGAAAAATTTTATTTATAAGGATAAGCATTTTTTAAAAGATAAATAATATTTAAATATGGCAAAAATCAAAATGATGTTTCTGACTTTACTGTAAACTTGAAATCAATGCCTATTAAAGAAAAAAAACTGACAACCAAAATTAACAACTAATTTTGTCTTTCAAACTCATGTTTATGTTTTAATTGATGTTAAGTAATTTGAATATGAATATGCTCTACTGTAATATGGATGACTGGTTTCCAGTCTTTTAAAGAATGAGACCCTTACAATTATCCACAATTTTCAAAGCTCCTCTCATGTGACATATGTATACTATATTAAGTACCATGAGGCTATAAAGCTTTATGAAATATCAAAAAGAATAGCATGTAAACTAGACACAAACAAATGTACTTCTCTACAGACAGTAGCTGATCTGCCCATGATTTAAGGACCCCTTTCAATAACTCAATAACCCTTCAGAGGTATCAGAGTCACTGGGTAGGAACCACTAATTCAGAAATCAGTTTAAGAAGGACATAACCCATTCATATTTGTTTGGTGCTTCATAGTTTACAATAGGGTTTACACACCAACCCTCAAAGTTAGACAGGGAAGGTATAAGAATTCTCATTTTACAAATAAGAAGATTGAAGTCTAGAGTGACTAAGGAAATCAGTGAAGGTCACACAGCTTAGAAAAGGAATTCCTATTAGATAGCAGGTGTTCTTATTACTAATTCAATGTTTTCATCTCTTACAACTTACTATTCATCTGGTCATGGAAGCATAAAGAAATAATTTTTATAAAATCATCCTAACAAACTTTAACCAACAATTCAGAGAGAGAAACAAATATATTTTGACATATCTTTTTGGACCATTCAAAACCTTGGCTACAATTCTACACAATAATCATTTTTAGGGTATTAAAGCAAAAAAAAAACACAGGCAAAATGAGCCAAGATATGCTAAATAAATAAGCCTACTTTAGAAAAGTGTTATAAACTAGGAAGACAACAAATTTCCAAATATTGCAAAATGTTTAAGTCTTAATTTTTTTTAAACTTAAACTTTGTACTTGTCATTTCTAAAGACATTAATCTAATAAATCCAATAGTCTGGTGAATTTGTTAATAACCTTAACAAGATCAGGTAAGCGCTTTAAAATGCATTAACACAATTCATTAATTAGTTAAGAGGAAAAGTATTCCATTTTTAGAACATTAATAAGGTGATATGCAAAAGAATGTGGAAAATATTGACTGAAGGTTACTAGAACTACAAACAAAAAGTCAAGAAATTGGAGATGAAACATGTTTTAAAGCATATTGTTCTAGATTTTAAAAGACGGTCATAATACTTTTTTAAGGTGTGATATTAAAATGATGTTTCTTTTCTCTGCCTCATTCCAAAGAACCACAAAAAAGCAAATTAAAATAGTGATGAAATAAAACGCTCACAGGTTTGTATCTCAGTGCATCTCTGTAGGATCCAAACAAAGCAGCCTGTGCCCTAAGAAAGGCCCTAGCTACTCCATCACCCGTAGCTGTAGACTGCTTCTTCAGTTTATTTTTCAAGGCCGAGACCTGCATGACAGAGAGGAACAGTTAAATTAACACTTCAGAAATTGGTACAGCAAGGTACGAACCCAATCATCAGGCAAACCACAGTGTCTGCAGGTCAGCCAAAAATTCATCCTCCTCCCTGACAGCTTATCTTTTTAACTGCAGAGAGCACCTGCTGGTCTGTTAATTGAAAGGAAAGGAGGAGAGGATAGTACCGTGCTAATGCAAATTGGTTTATGCTCTCTTTTTTTTCCCAAGGCCTCTTGACATAAATAAGCTTTAATTATTTTACAGTAAACTGCTTGTGAGCCACTTTTCTGCAGATTTTTAGCAATTACAACATGTGTCTACTTGTTTTGAGATGAAGCTCGTTGGGTATCATTCATTTGTGCTATGTAAGGTTATTTGTTACAGGTCCTCCAGGATCAATTACTATTTAATTTTATTTTTAGAAGCCTCATATGCATATATAATTTTCCAGTCATTTGTTGAATAGTTTTTGTTATTAGATAAAAAGAGGGGAGAGAAGATAAAGTTATTGAGCCCATACCATGAGTGGGAATTTTATGCAAATACTATACATTGTCTCATTAAATCTTTACAATAGTCTTCTAAGAAAAGCATTCAGATCCCCATTAATAAATAAGGAAATAGGGGCACAAAGATGAAGATAATTTGCCCTTACTATGCAGCTAGTAAGTGGCAAAGCTGTAACGTAAACTCTGTTCTGTCCAGCTTTTTTCCACTACCATATGCTGGGTTTGAGTTCAACGTCACTGTTTCATGAACCAGTAACAAGATTGAAATACTAATGTTTTTAAGTCAAAGAAAAACCTATTATCTAGGAATCTGCATAATTTTAAGAGGCATTTAAATTTGTCATAATTTTTCACACATTTTCTGTCCTTTAGTTTCAAGTGCTATGTTATTTTAGAGAATCATATTATTTATGAGCAGCCCTTAGTTAGGTGAATTTTTAATTGAGATCATACTCCTGATGTAAACTCTTATTTTTTAAGGGGGAGAAGATATAATACATTCCTATACATCCAATTCACTTCGCCAATTCTTTTAACACAAAAAATCCCCACAGTCTACACACTTAAAAATATTGATTCCCATATACATTCCTTGTCAATGCTTAAAACAGAAACATGTGAAGTTGTGTAACAATTCTGTTTTCTTAAGAAAAAAAAACAAAACTGATGAGACAAATTCTGTTTAGATTGCTCCCTTAATAGAGCATGTTCTTATCCTTATCAGATAACAAAATAACCTCATTTCTCCTTTACATACACATGCAAGAAGGAATATTTTTATTTCTTTATGCAAGTAGTCCTGACTACTCTTGTAGATGATGATTGTAATTGAAGTGTCAACCTAATTAACAACTAAACTTTGAATAATGCTAATGAGAAATGAACGCAACATCAGAGGAAAGACCAGCTCTACAGGTGATAAACCTTCACAGTAGTGACATTTTCCAGTGTAAAGTCACAGTTACTATGATCTGATCAAAGAAACAGACCCCCATTGGGTCCAATTATAACCACAGTTTTGAAAAAATTATTGAGTTATGATGTTCATAATCTATGCAGAAAGGCCTTTGCAGTATAGGTCTTCTCCCCATAGCTGTGATCTTTTCAATTTATATCCAAGCTCCATAGATTCAGATAAAAGTTTAAAGCCTAATTCATTTAGCCCACAAAGTGCATAAACCAGGATTCATTTAAGAGGGAGTTTTTATTATTAAAATCTAACCTCAATAAATGCACATTTTTAGGTAATCCACATATTCAAACAAAAATACACTTGAAGGCTACAAAAATAAATCTTCTGATTAATGCCGTTTATTCTGAAATTTGTAATAATGTCATTTTTTTAAGTTTCAAGTGCTTTTAAAAACCAAAACAATGAGAATGAATATCAATACATGTATTTAATTACTGCCCCTCCATAAAAAGGATTATATTGGAAGGAATGGAATTCCATCTTTCAAAGTAGTGTAAAAAGTAAGTGGTTGGGGATTTTTTTTTTTTTTCACATTAGAAAATAAAAAACCTAAAAAAGTCACACCTTGTATCTTGCAAAAGAAAATTCCTCAAAGTATACTTTAATAAAACACAAAATTGACAATTCAGTTATCCACAAAGCAAGGACACAGGATTCTAAGGACAATCATAACACACATGCTCACAGAGAACGGAGGCAAGTCAGACCATTCCTCGGCCTTTATTACACCAAATACTTGACTGCAGAACTGCTGCTTGAGTTACCCAGGAGTATTAATCACACTGCCACAGGCCCTTCCTAACCAAATAATAAATACGAGGCCTTCACTTCCAAAATTAGTAGCCAATGATAGTTCCTGAGCTCCCCGTGAATATACAGAAAATAGGAAAGAAAAAGAAAATACGTGATCTAGAACTGTGTTACCCAATAAGGTAGCCATTAGCTACAAAAGCACTTGAACTGTAACTCATCCAAACTGAGATTTGCTTTAAGCGTAAAATAGACATTGTAAATGGAAGACTTAGCACAAAAAAAATTTCATTAATAATTTTTATCTTATTACCTTTTGAAACAATATTTTAAACATAGGGTTAAATAAATCATATCATTAAAATTAATTTCACATATTTCTTTTAACTTTTTAACGTGGCTACTAGAAAACTTAAAATGACCTATGTGGCAAAACATAGTATTTCTATTGGACAGGGCTATTCTACATGAGCTTACTACCTAATTTCATACAGACAGGTGAGACTAAAAATTGCCTAGCAAGAAATATGGTTACATTTCTCCTTAGCCTATTTCTACATTGTTTCAGCTTTGCAGACTACACAAGTTTCTCCTGGACCTATTCTAGTGGGCTTTCACTGTCAGTCGGTCTGAGGTTGTTCCTGTCCTTGAAAGACCAGAAGAGCAGCTGAGTTAAGCATTCCTATATGCACACATGAATACTCAAAAATAGTCTGTAAAAATGAAATTGTTTTTAAAAATCAGTTTTAGATATAAGAATATTAACCTAATATAAATAATTGTGTCAACCTTGCTGTTTCCCTGGCCTTTAGATCACTGGAGTAAATTATCACCAGTTACCATTGCCCTTTGCAGTGCTAATTAGCTTTTAGCAGTTTTTATCTATGAAAACAATAGTGTCTCTTTTGCACTTTTTCAATACCTAGTCTGGGAAATAGAATTTTCAGCTTTAATTTACAAACTTCTAAGTTTAGTTATGAAATAAGTGTATATCTTCCCATGAAATCCTAAAACTTATACTCACATATAACTGAATTCAGAAACGCATTCGGATGCTTAGTCATACGTCTGTTATAACACAATCCTATTTATACTAAAAAAGTATCAATTGTTTTTTTATTCTTGAGAAAGTAAACTAGCCTCAACCTCTAATGGCTAAATATTACTTCAGAACTGGCATTTTATTTTATTGTTTTTAGACAGTTTTCGGTCTGTAAATAAATTTTTTAATATAATTAGGTATTACTAAACCAAAAAAAAAGTTAAACAGTGAAAAGAAACTTCAGAAATAAATACCATTTCATTGTTCTTATCAAATGTTTAAATTCCTTTCATACAATGATAATTTAGGCCTCTAAGCAGCCATCCGCAGAAGGAATTATAACCTATATTTTAGCACTGTGGGAGTTCACTGCAGCATGAATCTACTACCACCAGTTCTCCACTTTTAGCCTCTTAGCCTACTATGAACAAAAGGAGGGAATTACATAAGTAAACACAGCAAACAGGTATAAATTAAAAGGGTGCAAGCCATGTGCACATAGTCTGAGTAAGGAAGCAACTATGCCAACCAGGAGTAAGTCAGGAAGGGAGAGTATATAAAGGAGCTGAGTTTTTCAGAGAAGTGAAAGATTTTTGTCTTACCTGACTTCTACATGTGTCTTTGCAATGAAAATAAATTAACTGCTACACCTAGAAACTTTAATTTTACTTTTTAGGATCACAAAGAGAAAATCAGCATAAGGAGAGAAAATAAAAAGTCAGGTTTCAGAAATAATATTTACATAACCTGCACAACCTATAACACCCCTATGATGTTTTTAAATATCTCCTTTTATGTAACTAAACTGTACTTTAGAGACTATGTACATTCAGAAAAGTTAAAGTTTCAAATAATCATCTACTCTAGAACAAAGTCATGAAGTTAAAACCTTTTATTCTCTCATGAAACGTATTATGGTTATCAT